TTGACTGGTAAATACTTAAAAAAACAGCAGGTGGCCAAACCAAAAAGAACTATCGGTTAAGAAGAAACTGAAGGAAACAGAGACCGATTTGTGGAGAATCGGCATGATTAAGAAGTCCGCGCTAGAGATCTATCGAACTTTTAAGCAGGAAATTGCCAAGGAAAGGATCTATGATAATACTCGGGGTAGTTCTCTACTGTTTGAGGCCAGGACGGGAGTACTGCGAACCAAGACATATCGGGCCAAATACGAAGGGGTAGACACAGTATGCAGTGCGTGTGGAGAGGAAGAAGCTGCCGAACACTTGATGATGTTCTGTAAAGGGCTTCACCCTATAGTTCAGGATGATGGCGCAGAGTTTTTCAAAGCAGTGGGGTTTAGAGTCAGAGAGGGCAAAATAGACTTTAAGCGGGTAGAATTAACTAGACGGAGGTTATCTGATTGGTGGCTAAAGTGAAGGCACGAGTGAAAATTAAACCATTCACTGCAAAGTACCAGTCCTATACTTCACTACTTAAAGGGGAAAGAAAATAAATCTAGTTGGTGGTTCACCAAGTATTACGGCTAGGTGGCGTTAGCCGCCACCCGATCTAAAGGGTACAGCCACACCAATCCATTCATCCATCCATCACATTGAAAGAGAAAGAGCGCTTAAACCACGCGCTTAAAAAGCGTCCATACCAATGTCGAGGCACGCGTTGTCAACACTAACGACATTATTTTTGTGTCACAGTGTAGGTGCAGCCTTTTGATGGAAACAGGCCCGGCGATGCTGCGGGACTGTGTGAGCGCGGGCCGCCGTCGTGACGTCACAAACAGGCATGACGTCACATTTAGCCACACCTTTTGTACACATGAGGGAGACGAATTCATAACCGAGAAAACTTTTCAGTGCCAATTGAACGAGTAAACTAAACAAAAAAGGAACAGGACGGGCGCCAACTCCCAACTAATTCTATTCTACACAGGAACGCTTTTATAGCACAGTCAATACACATGCACACTTGCGAGCACATGAAAGTTTCTTAACAAAAAACAAGCAACTGTGAGATGTCCTATTTTACTCTGTCCTCGTTTTTTGTGTGTGTGTGCTGCTTACTTCAACCATGTAGCTATTAACCAAAGAACCGCAAGGCACTGCTGAGAATAAAGGCTAAACAGATGAGCTTTCTCGGCAGCCCCAGTGGTTCTCTGGTCGTTAACTGTGTTGCGCGTTCGTGTGTATTGACTACATTGCAAAATCTTCGTTCCTCTGTGGAATAACATAAGTCGGAAGTTGGCGCCCGTCCTGTTTTGTGGACTCGTTCGATTCGCGCCAAAAAATTTATTCATTTATGAACAAGCATAGATCGAGTTTCATATTCTACGTGAATCAGTACCGGCTGTAGGTCGAACCAGAATTCTGCTAGAAAGACGAAATGACAAGCATTAAAAGGACACTAAAGAGAAAAGCCTTTTTTGTTCTCATTTTAGCGAATTGCTTTTTCAGTGTTCCAAAATCACTACGCTCGCCAAAAGAAGACGCTTCGTAAGCGAGAAAACGCGCACAAAGAAAGCGATTTCGCGACGCCATCTTGAAATTCCCGCTGCAAACGTGATGACGTCATAGATTGACGAAATCTAGTAGGTCTTGCGTAGTTCTTAATTACTAAAATGCACAATGTCCCCCGAGTTAATGTGGTGTTAACCCGCACCGCACTAACACGTAAAGAGCAAAACGATTTCTCGCGTATTAGTAATGCACAAAAATACCACTCGTAGGGTAAGCGAGACCCACCTCGAGATTTCCGCACCAAAAGCCATGACGTCCTACATTTTGAAGGCGTCTACTGGGCCCTACGTACGATGTAATCGATAAAAATGAAGTACATTATCATCTGTGGGTACCATGGACATAGATACGAAGTTTCAAACAATTTCATCGAGCAATGTTTCGAAAATACGAAAAATTCATTTTGAAAACTTTGACGTCACGAGGGTGACAACGCGTGCGTGTGACTGGACTGACGTCATCGCTATCGCGATTACTGCTGGCATAGACTACCTTACCAAAGATATGCAGGCGCCGCCATCTTGGGCTGTTGATGTTTTCCTATATTTGTTGATTGCGATGGAAATTAATAAGGCTATAAAAGATCCTATGCACCAACTGAAGCGTTTTCATTGGTTGTTACAAATTGCGTAGAAGACGAGGAGCGACGTTATCATCAATGCGGATTACACCGGCATTTGCAATACAAGAAGAGGTCGACGGGTGGGCTTCGCCATTGGCAGGGCGGCTAGTTCCTTTCCTCAACAATGGGTCTGCGTCTACTGCAACACTGTACGTTAAATTGTCAAAGATGCAAAACACAAAGGTTAGAAACCCAACATGGTGGCACTAAACCTCCCCGTAAAATAGTCTATAAAAGGCAGCCAACTTATAACACCGGACTCTTTCTTTGTACCCTTCTTGTTAATTAACCCTTATTGGGGAGATTTAGTTCCACCAATGTCGCCATAACAGGAAAAAATACTCTCCGAAATCTGCGACGTCACGAGACAATCTAAGCGCGAAATTTTAAATAAAAATTCAAACGAGTTTTTTCGTTAGTAAACCTATGGTGGCAAAATTAACATTAGAGTTCTCATAGTACCACGTATCAATATTAACCAATTCACTGTTCCCCTGTAGTGTGACATTTAATTATTAAGAGTCAATTTCTGTCACTTTGCAGCGACGTGAAGACTATCTTTCAGCGACCGTGAAAGGATTGCTATACTAGAATATGCGTGGTCAACTAAGCTACAAAAGCAGTATACGGAACCCATAATTATGGTAGCGTAATACATTATCGATACCAATGCCTCCCCATTTCAACACGAAAGTTCTTTATGTCAGCATTCACCGAGACTTCAGCGATGTATTTCCGTCATGGAAACGACGTTGCAAAATACGGACGGCAAAATAAGCTCCATGAACAGGGGTCGAACTTACGACCTATCAGTTCGCAACATCATACGCCTGGCACGCTATCCACTGCACCATGGTCACACCTTCTGAAAACTTCCTAGCTTTTAGCCTTAAAAAACACTAAAGTCGACAATTTACGACAGAGTGAAACCTCAATGTATGAAAGCGTCCAAAACAAAAATATTATCAACAATAGTGTCCTACTTACCAAGAAATTAGGGTGAATGCACAAGAACACATGCGCCGCAGTAGGACATTCTCAAAATGTTCCCGATGACATCAAATCGATCTAGCTGCACGAAATAAAGAACCTTCCGTGCATGAAGAGACGCAATAAAATACTACTTGTTCGTTTCTGTTTGATTCATGGAAAAAAGAACCGCCGGACGTTACTATGAGGAATGGCGCGAGTGATTCAAAAGTTCAATTTTCGTGTAGTTACACTAGACAGGTGGTGCCATCTAGCGGGCTACAGTTGAACCAAAAAACGTCTGCAATCTTGGAGCCAATGGCGGGAAATTGATCAAAAGCCGTTGTTGCTGCTTTGGCTCTCTCTGCTTTCGGTCTGCTGCTACTAGCGCAGTAAAGCCGGGCAACGTTGTGCACGGCAACAGTTCGGGCCGGTCGGTCCGCTTCTTGAGGCGGGTAATTTGAAGTGTGCTAACCAGATGCGAACCACTAGAACGTGATTTTTATTTCAAAATAGGTCCTTGCTTGGCACAAAAGTAACGCTTCGAGGTTTTTGTACCGCTATTTCAACAATCAACGTCGACCTAATAGTTGCCTTTAGTGTCCCTTTAAGTTCGTAAGCTGCCTTTTCAAATGGAGATGGCCGTGCATGCACTGATATTTGTTGCGAGATCTTCATGAAGAGAAAAAAAAAACATGGTCGCATATCTGCGTGCTTCACTGCAAATGTCGTCGAAAGACGATAGTCTTCTGCCACCTTTCTTTCGTGCATAGCAACCCATTTTCAGCACAGCCTAAGAAACACTAGGGTTTACTTATCTATGTATTTTCTAGTAATGGAACCCACCATCCATTACTTGCATATTAATGTTGCACCTCACATATGCATAATATTTGCTTTTTGATCAACAATGTTCACAAGTATGAACGTAGCTACTAGTTCCAAGATGGCTGGACATTCAGAAAGAGCTTAAGCTTTGGCCGAATGGCTGAATTGTGGCAGACTGACAAAAATTTCTGTGTTCAAGTATCCTTAGTAAAGGTATCGTCTTAAATAAATTGAGATATGGCGGAACAAAAACTATGCAGGCACATATATGAAAGGCAGTGCCATACCTGCTGTGCAGTAGCGAACGCAGCTGTAAGAATGGCAGCATAATCTAAATAAGCAGCATATCTACTGCTTGCTTCCTGAAATCGTTGGGTCAAAATTTAACGCAGAGGTGACGACCGTGAGCTTGAGTCGTCTGCACATCAATATCACTCCGAACAAATTGTAACCGCAGAATTCCACACTAAAGACGCTATTTATGAAAGCTCCCATAAAAAAATATCGCGTTTGGCATATGCCAGTGTCTAGTTCCACGGCTTCAAACATTGAGCGCCAGCGCGCAGTATAGGAGGCCATGCCAGTTTTATATCTGGGTGTCAAATACGCAGTACGCGGACCCCTCGCCATAGCGGCCCAGTCCGCGCATGGCCGTCTTCGTTCTATATTACAGCAAAGCTCCCTCGGCTACCTTGTGCTCCCCTCCCCACCCACCTAGGTGACGGGGGGGGAAAGGCTGCTCTCTGTCCCCCTCGTGCCCACGCCTATATATGGGTGTGACGCACGTCGTGCTGCGTGTTTTTCTCTCGCACGCAGCATTAGGAACGTTCAGGCCGAGGTGGAACGCTACCAGCGCAACCAAGTACGCTATGCACAGCAGCAGCGCATGCAACGCAGCTTGTGTTTCAGCGCGGGTGTTTCGCCCAACTTTCCCAATCATGCACAAGTCCATGCATATATCATATATAGGAAACGCCTTCTTTTGAACGACAATATTAGCAGGTGTTTTGTTATATCAACAAACACTGGTTTCATGAAACAAAGCATGATTACATTTATTGCTCTCTTGCTATATGACAGTCACGTAGAGTTGTGAAGGATCCTGTTGAAGGCATTGTACGAAGATTCCAAGTCAAAGATGAGTTGGCGCACTTGGCTCTCATTCAGCTCATCCGAAGCGGCCATCAAAGACATGGTCTGCAGCCTAGTTCGTCACAGCAATGAGCAACAATAACACACAGTGAGACATCGCTTGGAACACATGCAACTATAACATCCACACATGTCAACTACTAGCTTTCAGAGAGAGAAGACGAGGATGAATATTAACAAAGACAGGCATAACTTTCCTTGCGTGCATTGAATGTGATAGTGGTACAGAACAGATTAAGACGCGAGCCCAATGGTGCAGCTGGTGAGACGATGGTGTGTCAACTCTATCAATGTCCATGTCACATGACATGATTCACCTTGAAATCTAAGGTAAATTGCCACGTGATGTGATAACTTGGATGTGATAACTTCGTCATATGCTATCGTATGGCAAAGTAGATTTTGATAGTGGGCCACTCTATTTGTGTGGGCGTGTATTTGTGTATGTATTTTATATATTATGTAAGAGTGGCAACGATCCTCCAGTGCATATTTCAGACTAATTTTGTAGTCTTGATGATGGTATGCAGCGCAGCGCACCAGTACAGTCCTATGTTAATCACGCACTATTGAAACATATGCCGAAGATTCCCATCACTGGTCAAGAACTATCTAGGCAGCATGTTTGGGTCAGTGCACTCCTCTGTATTGTTTCTATGCATACTATACAATAAACAGGCTGTAGTACCTGGAATTTCAAGTTAAAAATTTTCCTCACAGCTGCACATTTCTGAGATAAGCCAAGTGTCATCATCCAATGCTTTGCAGCACCCACCCAATGCAAACGAGACAGAATGCCAGAGACAGGCAACCGCCACTCCCTCGAAATCAAGGACATTGAACAGTGGTGGGATACATACACTGCAATCGAAGCATCTCCACTCATACTTATTTATTTTTTTATATTTTTTTTAGGCATTATATTTACTGGATGCATTTAACTAATTTTCCTTCAAATTTCTGACATTTTGAAAGAGGTTGATTCAGGGCCCTTGAACAAGGCACCCAAAAAGACACTACCATAAACATGCTAGTACGGGCATGTCTATAAACCCACGAGATAAGTAAATGAAACAAAAATAAAAACCTTTAGCACTTTTATTCTTAGCTATATATTGCCACCCTGTCTCCAGGAAGAAGCCATGCAATTCACATTGACTGCAAGTGATGCATTTTATGGTGCGGAGCCTGCCATCAGGACTATTGTTCATTTCTTTCTTGTTTGTTTTATTTTGTACTCATGTTTTTCAACAGGCACAAAAATTTTTGGCTTAGCTTTCACTGTTATTTAGAGCCACCATGCCTCTTTTCTTTTCTTTTTCTTTTAGTGCCATGCTGTAGTGGTGGCAGAAGAGAGCGTGGAAGTTAGCGGCTGTTATGACCGAGTAAACAGCCTTTAGATTCGAGTTCCCATTTGCCATGTCCTCTCACGACAAAATTATGAGGTTGGTGACATTTCATGGGTACAATAAAAGTCCAAATATAAAGCGGAGGTTGCACGTACAGACACACACCCACACACCTGCGTGTCTCGCTAACATGTATTCAACAAGGTTGTTGTATAACAAATGAAGCAGCTTTAATATCCTTGCTTTTACTTTCAACTATATTATTTAGTCTAGGAAAATTTGGAACATTCAATCACATATTTGATACACTGCCCACACACCCTACATTTTCGCTGCTCCCGCATCTATTGGCCACTTAAAGAAACCAATAGTAGCACTGAACGCAATTACGTTGAGCCACACATCTACATAAGAACAGTTTTTCTTAACTGGTTTAGGTAACATAAGAAGAGACCTTCTGATCCTCAAACAAGGTGGCTTACCATTCATCTACTTTGGCTTTGCCTTCAAAGTTGGCTGGTATGAGGCTGAGCCGGCTCATGGTCTCACTCAACTCTCTCAAGTCTGGTTGCAGCTGTAAGTAGTCAAGCAATAGGCAAAGCGTTCGTCGACTAGCTCACCGAAGCAGTCAGACTATCACCTCACCTCATCCATAGATTTGATCTCCAGGCGTAACTTATCAATAATTGTGATGAACAGCTGAAAGAAAAAAAAAGACAACCAGTTTGGACAACAAGCATGGGCAAAGCCTGACTTTGACCTTAAAGACAACCAGCCATGCACACAAAAAATAGACATGCTTTCTGTATCATGAAAAGCAGCCCTTAAAAGAATGAAGCTGGTAATGATCAGCACAATTTCACTTAGCCTTATCCCCTTCTAGTGGATAAGGCTAAGTCCAACTTCGAAACCGCGTGTTTCCTGAAATGGCTTGAAACCACATTCATGCAGGCTTCCCATGTGGAGAACTACCGGTCATTTAACTTTTCTGTGCAGCGTATAGTTGCGAAGGGTCACTCTGCTAGAGACATCACCATGTTTGGCGATCATCCGATGTGCCGCTTTCCAAGACCAATGTCAACAAGAGCTCTTTTGCTCAAAACGAATACAACCCAAAAACAAATGGAGCATGAAATTTGAAATTTTATTCTTTTTTGCAAACATTGAAGTTGACTGATTGCAGAATACTTGAGCATTTAATTACATGCTAATTACCATCAATTATAAAAACTCATGAAAACAACACATTCCTTCATTTTGTTTCTTAGAATGTCATGTTGAGTGACTTGGAATCATGCAATGTAAATTTGATGCATTTGCCAGGAGTGGATCATAATTTACGCCTTAAGGTATTGTTCTGAACAACAGAATGAACGAAATGTCTAAAATTAATTTTCATATCTATAAGCTACAAAGCTGCTTCAGTGACAAGAGGCCCAGCCTCTTGCCACAAGACAAGAATGGGGAGATCACATATATCAACACATCTGGTGCATTTCATCTTTGAGAAAGCTGCCAGCACCAGCCTTCATTATGACCGCCTTTATATAGTAACATGAAATTGTTTTTTCCAGCAACTCTGTCTATTCTCGAAATGTCTCTTCATGGCATAGTCATTTGTATTCAATAAGATAACCACTAAAACAGCTATTGCATTATGCTTGACCCTGCCAGATCAAACTTTGAGTATGCTGGCCTATGTGTCCGCACGCTAAATCACCATGTGGCTAAATGTGGTCCCCACTATACAAGACGAATAAATGCTGTGTACTACTAATATTTCGTGGATTAGAGCAAACGAGGAGCCTCTAAAGCACTCTACTTTATTTCAGCTAAGGTGCTAAGAGACATATGTTAGAGCTGCACGCAAGCTTCATCACACTAAGCAAGTTTTTGCTGCAGTGAAATGCAGAAGGGGGTCTTAAAGGACCAGTTGGTACATGATGCTGTAAGAAAACAATGCATAAATGGGACCGAGCTGAACAGCACTTGTGTTGTTTGTTCCTTCAACTTGGACCTATTTTCGTACAATTTTCTTGCACTGCAGTGAAGTACCGAAATACTGGCAGTAAGAGCGATGTAACATGGTGCACTGGCACCAGTCTTACCGACACAATATCAGCAATGCATTTGCTTGTGTTCCCTTTGTCGTCTTTGATGGTAATCGGCCTGTCCTCACGGATTCGTTCCATGGCAGCAGGACAGTCCAGCTACACACAAACCAACCAAGACGGCACTAAACAATGAAATTGCTAACAAAATAAGCATGACGTTTCATCACCTTTTCCTGCCCACGGTATAACACACAAGCTTTCGAAATCTGATAGCAATGCATGTTTTGGACAAGTACTGCTGACTGGGCTAGTTATTGTATGAAAAGTCTGTTTTAAAGCGAAAGCTGTTATGAGATCAAAACTCGGGTCTCACGCAGCGCCGTAGTTGTCCGTCGCTGTCACCGCCCCCGGTGTTCGTAACCACACCACACGAATTTAGAAAAAAAACTACCAATAAGACAGTGGGGCTCAACCTAGGGCCGCTGGGTGCCAGTCCAGTATTTTACCACTGGGCAACGCCGGTGCTTGGGACTTGTTGGCAAAGCTTTCCTTAGACAGGCTTGATGTCGGGAAAGCAATCACGTTATTACAACTTATAAAGCATTTTAGAACAGCTAAAAAACAACCAGTTGTCTCAAAATGCGAGTAGCGTAACGAGTGGGTCGTCCAGTGCTCCAACTCATTACAAAAGCTTGTTCTTGTTCTACTATTAACTGCGGCGCATACCTACTTCAGGCATAATTCCTCATCGTCGTCAGCCACTGCATTAACAATTGGCACAAAATTTCTTGCAAGTGTTTAGCGGATACCACACTTCTCAGAAGAACGACGAAAAATAGCATAGCGAATGCCGGCCTACTACCCAAATTTTTTTATTATTAATGCCGTAGTGGGTAACAAGCAAGTGTGCTTGCAGCAGTTACCCAATGAGTGTTTAGAAAAGGCTCTGAAAAGCCGCTCTTCTAGCTTTCTCTGTTACTGAGCTGTGTTTTCTGTGCGGGCCTGGCACTTTTTTTCCCCCCTTACTGACTGTATAGCATCTTTTCTTCATGCTCATACCGAGCTGCACTAAAGCAATATAATTTTATCATGTTTTGTAGGTAGCCTTCAACTGTCCTTCCCACAACATTCTGCATTATTTCTGAAAAATGTGCTCTGCTTTTCTGTGAACTTAAGCTTGTGCACAGCATAGCTGTAGTCCAACAACGATATTGTATGCAAGGGCTCAGTTTTATGTTATGCACAATCTAACAAAACCAACAGACATTGAAGCCAAGAGAGGTATATGGCACAGGCTTGTTACACTTCCACAATGTTTTTTATTTATCATAGTACCCACAAGGCACATGGGCATTAGTGAGGAGGGAGGGGAAAGATTGAACACAGGTGTTACAGATGTTCAATACAAAACAAAGATGTTAATGCCTTGGCCATACAATAAATTAGAAGGCATTTCACTGTGCACTTACAGAGTGACACAACAAACAACAGAATAGATTCATAATACAAAATCCATACTCATGCAACCGCGCAAGTTCACAACTGCAGAGCCTGCAGTAAACTTGAAAATACACCATGTGAGGTTATTTCTGCTATATCTGACGATGAGCTGTTCAACCAACCTATCGCTCTGAAAAAAAATGGCATTTTAAATGATTGATATGTGGGGTTTAAAGTCCCGAAACCACCATATGATTATGAGAGACGCCGTAGTGGAGGGCTCCGGAAATTTTGACCACCTGGGGTTCTTTAAACGTACACCCAAACCTGAGCACACGGGCCTACAGCATTTCCCCCTCAATCGGAAATGCAGCCGCCGCAGCCGGGATTCGATCGCGCGACCTGCGGGTCAGCAGCCGAGTACGTTAACCACTAGACCACCGTGGCGGGCCACAATTTCATCTCAACCGAAATGCGACCGCAGCGGTCGGGATTGAACCATCAACCTTTGAGTTATCAGCCGAGCACCCTAGCCACTGATCTACCGAGGCGCATGGTCCAATAGTAGTGAAACGCAATCAGGTCTGCAAAGGAACAGCTGGGTGTCAAGATGTGAAAAAGTTTCAACCTCAGATATTGCGTTCACTTGTGTAGAAGTTCCCAACTACGACTTTCTTTTGCTCTCGAAATGCTAATATTTCTGATATAATAATAGCACTCAAAAGCGAACAGCCATGTTTTCAATACTTTCTAAATTCAACATGTTATGCGCCTTCCATTAATGAAGTCAGCTGACACCTAATAAAACTGTCGCTCCTCTCCTCCCAAGTGTTTTACTACGGCAAGCAATGCATGCTTAGGTGAACCTTTCTTTCCTTTCGACACCAAGTCTCATTGGTCTACATTAGTCTCAAGAAACTGCTGTCGAGTGGACATTACTTTTTTGCAGCCAGATATCTAGCACCAAAAAACAAAGCAAGAGGTGCTGCTGGCCCCTCCACCAGTGAAAGTAATATGACAGTGCATTCAAGGCATATTACTTCTCAGCAGTGATTCATTGCAAGTGTGTCACTGCTGCCATGTGCACTAGCCGTCAATGCTCCGTTCAACCCAACGAGCCTCAAAGTTTTAGTAACTCTACAGTAGATTCAAGGCACTCTGAAGCCCTTTAGTTGAAACAAGAGCCTTTAAATTGATCTAAACTTCTCAGTTTCCAAAAAAAAATAACTTAGTCAAAGAAGGAGAACAGGCTTGCACAGTACCAATGTGTACAGCACAGGGATATGTTTACACCACCTCCCTTAACAGAAAATATGTACAATACCAGGAACTTTGACCTAGATCAAAGACATTTTGAGATGCATTCTCTTGATAAGGAAACAGACAGGTTGCTTGTTATTCCGATGAGGGACTGCACTAGTTGTGGTGGGAACTTATGTGTGGTGGAAATACAGCTCAGGCTCAATATTGCCTTCAGTGCATACAACAAACCATTCTCTTTAGGTATTGTAAAGAACAAAGCAACAGCGGTCACACATTTCAAGTTACACATTACGTATGAACTCACCCGAAAGGCAGCCATGAAGGCTTCAACCGTAGAGAACTCTGGTCCTTGCACTTGCTTGAACGCTGCCTTGTACTGGACCAGCAGTTTTGAACAAGCCGCAGTGTATCTGCGTTAACGTTTTCGGTTGTGCATACGCATTCACGTGAGGCACAAACACACGAACACGATCAGCGACTTACTCTTTTGGCGTCACGCAGTCTTTAATGTAGGCCTTCTCTAAGCATTGCAGCGTGTTGATTACAGCATACAAATCAGCCATGTTGTCATACCTGTTAGACAAATAAAAGCATCAGTTTAAAGCACGCGACATGAAAATCGCGCGGTTTCGCAAAGCTCATACGCACAGCTGTGCAGTCAATACGTTTAATTTAATGTCGTCTAGTACTAATACCAAACGACCATGTTTTGGAGGTCCGAAGTTAGTCCCATTTAACTTTCAAGAGCTGTGTTGTGAAAGACGCGACCTTCCCAGATCTGTTAAGTCGAAATGAAACTGCTTTCAACAGTTTCTATTTTACGGTGTACTAGGCAGCTCGTTTCCAGGCTTTATCGTTCCCTGGGAGACAGTAGGACACTTCACGGAACCAAGGTAAATGCAAAAACGTACTCTGAAGTTTGTTTCCAGTTACGTAAGATGTGAGCCCCAAACGACGGCTAGGATCTGGTCGATAACAGGTTCGTACAGCCAAAAAATAGAAAAAAACTGTATTGCTGGAGAGCTCACTTCTCGCGCTCCCGCGAAGTCCTCTGAAGTCGCACTTCTTCGTACAGTTCGGGACGGTGCTCTGGAAATGAAACATCGGTGCAAGGTGAATGACTGAAGCGACGTTCAGGGCGGAACGAGAGACGGTACCTTGGTTGTTGGTTTGAGACATGAGAGCTGCGAAGGAAGCCATGATGTTGTAATGCCGCTTGACTCAGACGATCGCTAGGCTTATTTGGCGGGCAGCGGTGCACGTTCACCGCGTACAGCTATCGTTTATACCTGTCAAAAGCGATATCTACCACAGCTGACATACCATACCTTGCAGAACAACCAAACAAGCGACTACATTCGACTTAGCATTGGCTTCTCTATTGGCTTGACTTGACGATACAAATAGCTCTACATGCAAATAAATGATAACTAATAAATAACCTATAAGTTTATTGTTTGTTGTAAGTTTTGGTGTTGAGTTTATTATTTTAACAAAAACTTTTTGTTTATATTGAGAGCACTGTGTACAACTCTACTTCAATAAAGAGCATAGGCAGGGCGCCCTAAGGCCTAGCGTCAGCTGTAGTTTTGTTCTCTAGTAAATTTGTACTTCGGTCACATCCACAGTCGCATCCAAAGCTTCTTTCTTTCCTGCCAGCAAGCGAGATTGTGTAGGCGCTGTTCCACCATGGGTCACGAAAACATCTGGTATTCCCACCCCAGGAAGTATGGACCTGGCTCCCGGTACTGGTAAGTTGTTAAGTGAACAATCTGCTACTCTTTTAACGTTAGTTTGCGACAATATGTGCTTTAATTAAGCGCTGCATGCCTCTCGGATAGCTGCAGTCACTAGGCCTAGCTGCTGTATTATCCACGTGTGACCATGCGTTGTATTCGCGATTTCTGTGACGAAGCCGCCGCGATGATAAGTTTCGTGCACCTAGAAACTGGAAACGTATGTTCGTTACCGCAATTTGGCCCGTTTTAACACTTCACTATAGCGCAGTTTTTAGGTATGTGACTGATGCCCGGTCGGCGCTGCCGGCATGGCATTCGCGGTGTTCAGGGTTCGTACTTGACGCTTTCGCCAAAAGCCGAAAAACCTGATATGCGGCCGTGCGGACAGTCTACTCATATAATATATATACACCAGTTCGCTTCAATAACACAACGGCTTCACGACGACGTCAATGTTAGCACTCTTCGATCTCTATTACGATTGCGGCTGTTACAGTCTGCCCGGTTGCAAACTAACGTTAATGTGGTCGCACAGTAACTTTCCATCATTTCTTCTATGCAGCCGGGTCTGTGCCAACCACCACGGGCTCATCCGCAAGTACGGCCTGAACATCTGTCGCCGTTGCTTCAGACAGTACGCAGCTGACATTGGGTTTAAAAAGGTAAGCCCATCTGATCTCGCTGCACCCTACGTTTTGTCTGAGGAAGCACACTTTCAGTTTTTAAATGCAAATAGCAGTGTTGAGAGTTCGTTTATCCTCGGTGTTGGCTTCTGTAATGAAGTAAGCACGCGCCCGACTCGAAGTACATTACTAATTTACGTAAATATTGCGATACGCGGAATCTAAATCTTCTCCGTATGTTTAGACAGTTTATTTGGTAGCATTAGACTGTTACAAAGTAAAACGTGATTTTCGAAAGCCGATTGTAACTTGGCAGCTTGACATTGCATTGCCTGCAATATGGCTTTGGAACTGTTTTCAAAGGCCTATTTATACTTGGAACCATGCTACAACTGTAATTTTCCTTGTGTGTATGCTCTAGACTGCTTTGCAGATTTTTTTTGTTTGTTCAATGCGAAACTGCTACAAATAAGGCCGCACTAATCGTTTTAAGCCAGAATATGAGCTTCGGCTGCATTTCCGATGGAGGTGGAAATGTTGTAGGCCCGTGTGCTCAGATTTGGGTGCACGTTAAAGAACCCCAGGTGGTCGAAATTTCCGGAGCCCTCCACTACGGCGTCTCTCATAATCATATTGCAGCGATGCTGAGGCAGACAGGTTAAATAAAACAAGTGTATTTATTAGGGCGAACTTGTGCCCACGATTCTAAAGACTATGGTCGTCAAGTCCGAGTAGCCAAGTGGCACAGATCCAACTATCTTCCTTGTAGCCGGAGCGCATGCCTGCCGGGTCTTGCTGGTGCTGGTGCCACGATGATTGTGGCGGGCTACTTGAACGTGGCCAACCTGTCGCAGCAATAGTGGTGGTTTTGGGACGTTAAACCCCACATATAAATCAATCAAGAATTTATGAGCTTGAGGGGACTTGCACTGCCAGGACACCTCAAAGTCCAGTTATTTCGAAGCCATTCACACCGAAGAGTGCTCTTGCTCCTTCTGGCACCTTTAACCAAACTAAATTCCCTCTGGTCAACTTTTGCACTCTTTTATACCCGTGACACACGGGCAAAAGTAAAGTACTTTGAAGTAAACCCCTTTTGTCACCTAAGGGGACCGTTTGCTGAAAGGAGTGGCGCTGATGACACACGGCACCGGACTACTGCTTTAGGCGGTGCCTCAGAAGAACGCTGCAGAAAAAATGGCGCTGTTTGTGGAAGCAGCAAGATTGGAAATATTAAAAAGAATCTGCGCATGTACATCACACTCAGCGACGCCGGAGCATAAATCTGTTTTTTTTTTTTTTTTTTTTGTCTGGTGGCTTATACTGCGCATACCTGTAATTTTCTTTCGCTTTTTTTGCGTTTTTAGCAGCAACTTAAGTTCGTCTGGCAACTATGAACAGTCCGTGTTTTGCTGTTTTTTGTCGTGCTTTTTACATGGCTGCGTCCAGCTGGGTCAGTGATGGCGTGCCGCGTTTCATCGTGATCCTGCGATGTCTCAGCGCAGAGACAGAGATAAAGCAACAGTTGAGGTGGGCCTGACTCTTGTCACCCTCGGCTCCATCGAAGATGAGCTAAACGCTGTGAAGGCAATTTTGCTGTGAATTTGCCCCCGTGTACGGGGAATACCAGCGTCGGTGAGGCTCTCAGAAATCGCCTGGTACACTCCACCGTTGTGCTTTTGCCCTCGCAAGGCGTCCAAATGGTTTTCCCATAGCTTTATCAGCGCCCAGGTCTTCTTTTCAGTCCACTGGACGCGCGGTTTTTTCTTCACCGACACAGCAACTGCCGCTGCCAACCCTAACATGATCGCGCTAGTGACGTAATGCATGCGTTTGAGAGTATGGACAGACTAAAGGCCTTCACTTTTCAACAAATCGCACTGCTGCTGAAAATGAAAACATTTTCTCAGCGCAAAAAGATACTGACAGGGCACCGCAGTGTTGCGACACGTTTTCTTCTATTGATAAATTATGCACACTGTATGCGAGAGTACTCCCTTCCTGCCAGAAAAGTAGATGCGGGATCTGCTTTTGCGAAAAGGATCTTTGCCGGAAAGGAGTTACTCCTTTGTCGTGTGTCACTGCGCCCGAACGCCTTTCTGAAAGATGTCCCCTTGTCTAAAGGACTTCAGGGTGCCCGTGTGTCAGGGGCATTCATGTGATACTGATCTTCGTGACTGCTGTCCTCATGTTGTATCCAATTTGACGATTGAAAGCTAATCGTTGATTGTAGTTGTGCATGCATATAAAGGATCGTATTCTACGTCCACTGTTAATCAATGGCCCCTCCTAGTGGTCTCGTAACATTTGCCCTGTCCATTTTGCTTTTTACCTGCATATTTAATTTTTTCACACCATCTTTTGGCATCATCTGCCGTTTCCCACAAGTTGGTGTTCATTCATGATTTTGTTACTCTGACCATCTGTCCTTCGCATTGCATGGCCAGCTGTGGTTCAATCTTTTTTATTAATGTCAACTAGCATACCTACCAACTGTCCAGATTTTTTTGGGAGCCTTCAGTATTTCAGTCTTTTCCTAAATTTGTACGGTTGGCTGAAAAATTTCTCAGAAATAGAAATTTGTGTGTGATCTGGCCGCATTAGCAGAATACCAACCAACCCGGATCTAGGCTTCTTGCAAAACTATTGCACAATAATTTAAACGAATTGGGAAATGTTGATTTAAACTTAAGTACAGTGGAACCTCAATGGTACGAATTTGCAAAATTTTCTTGCCGAATTTCACTGTGTGTCCAGTGGGAGAACATTTGGATGTTGCGAACACTTTTGGCGCGTCGCACCGGGTGACACAAACTTTGGTAGCAAACCATCGAGCTATGGCTGAGAGCAACGTGCTTGAAGCTTCAGAACATGTGCTGCCTTTGAAGCCGCAGTCACTCGATGCTATCGGACAGAACTCCGAAAGTGCACGCACGTCTAACGCTCACCCCAGTGAAGGCGACGTTTCTATTTGCAAACTAATGACAAATCAGCAACAGGTGCAATCATTGAAGCAAAAAGCGACATAGTTTTTGAAGGTACGTGCGTGGCTCATGTACGCTGAACTACTGTTTGCAGTTTCCCCCCCAAGCGGTCACTGCGACGCGATTATCATTAATGACTGCAATTTTTCAAGATCCACGGCTATTGCAGTGGTAGATGTGATGAATGGTTAGCAAAAAGGCATAAAACATTTCTGTGTTTATGTCAGTATTCGCATAAGTTTCAGGTGATGATGATATCTTTAATCCCTCTTGATTCGTACATATTATAAGCGGTTATAAGATCGCAACGCCAATGTGCACACTTACGGGACTGATTGTCCCGTAAGCGTTGCCCCCCCCCCCCCCTTTTTTTTTTTTCGGTGATCTTTTTTGTTCGAAAAAAGATAGGGAGGCATACTCTTCGTTGCGGTAATCTTGCGGATGCAAAATTCTTGAACTTGGTAGGTATAAACTAGTAAATGGAATACCCCTATTTATTCGCTGGTTTTTTCTGCCATAATCCAATTCTGCCTATGATTTTCTGTGTCCATGCAGGCAGGATACTGGGTTTATAACTTCTGAGCTCTCATTAAGTTTCTGCTCCATATGCAAGCACTAACAAAATTCAATGATTGTATACTTTTGCTTCATTGGCAAGTTGCCCGTCATGTTGTGGAAATGTCTGCTGCATGGGCCCCTGCCAATCTTGTATTTACTTCCCATCACGAGGCTTGTGCATTACTTTTTTATCTGCATATGCATACTTTGCATAGATTTTAAGGCCCAGAAGGCAAAGGAAGGTAATATTTGTTTGCATATATTTACCTGCACAACACTGAACCAGGCCTATATACTTTACAATGCAAGACGTGTTAATAGTGGGCTACGATTGTATCTACAATTAGTTGCAACCAGCGTAATTGGCCACTAGTGTTTGTGCCACATGTCCAGTAGACTAATTTTATCGCACTAGCAAATTTTTTTACATTGGACTACTTGTAGCTTTGTTGCGTGGTAATTGGACGTGGGCCTACACTTTGAAACATAGAAATATGTTTGCATCATCAATTGGCCTTTAAGCATGAGCATACCAAAGGTATACCACTGGAGCGATGAGTCACTTGCTGCCTGCGCATGTAAAAGTGTGATTTGCCAAATAATATTACCTTGTTGCACTGCTTGAAACCATGCTTAGTACTGTTTTTTTTTTTTTCTTTCAGCTGGACTAAACTCTGGAGGTGGCAATCGTGGGGTGCTAAAAAAATAAACCACCAGTCTGCCTGAGGCAGTCCTGGGCCCAAAAAAACAATGTCTTGGAGCCTGTTTTATTAGGAGTATGTTTATTGTATAAAAGAAACAAATGTGACACACCGGGACTACACGAGGTACAAGCAAAATAGGAAGGCACTTGTGAGCATGCTTTATGGCCAGCCCCAGTTGTCTGGGGATGACTAGGGGGGTGCCCGTTGTCTACATCTGGGCTCAGGTACATCTGCAACCAGCCAAGGGGGGCCACAGGAAATGGCCCTGTGCATTGCAAGAGGTTCTTTTTTTTTATGTGAAATATAAGTATTTCTGCGCAAGCTCCTTCAACATGAGCCCTTGTCAAGCAAAATGAATTGAGAACTTGGCATGTACTATTGTAAACAGCTGGGTCAGTAGTATGAATTTTTGCAAGTTAAGCTGTATTCACATGATGGACATTATTTGGGTTGCTCTAAAGCCAGGATTTACACCTGAGAGAATTTGCACAAGGAAGGATATTGGCATTGAGAGGATTGCAACACATTTTAGGCCTCCGTTTCACGAATTGCTTTGTGTAGACCAAAGTGGCCATGGTGACTTGGTGCACACAATTCGTGGGCTTTAATGATTTGATCTGTCGTGCGAATACAGCTTTACAAACATAACAAATTCACTTTGCAACATCGCTTGCGTGTGAGGCTACATAAAAAGCAGGTTGTCTTTCAAACAGGAACTTGTGTGAATGTTGTGCAGCTATACCACTGGCACACTTAAGTGCTTGCACTGTCAAACATACTTGAGCATCTTTGGTTTTGTGCTTGTAAGGCAACTGTGGTGGTACAGTTTACCATTACAGAGACCGAGAAATAATTGGAAAAATGTACTACATAGGTTATGATTTCTTTTTGTAAGAGGTTGTGTGGCTTTTGTACCAGAACTATGTGTAATATACAGCTCCTTCTGAACACATTTTCTGCCACTACTAAATTTAGGAACCATTAATAGCTCGTATGGCTCCACATTATGAGTGAAATGCAAATAACTATGTGTATAATGCATTTAAATGAGCATGAAAAACATCAATGTCAGGTCTCAATTTCCAGTCTGTACTAACTGCTTACTTGACATTTTACGTAAGTGATATCGAGTATCTAAAAGATAATTGCACTGTTTGCGTGTTAAGGAATGCACAACAAAAATTTCGTTCCAATCTGGGGATAACAAGTGTCAAAAACTTGTCCAAACTCGAGCAGTTGCCTAAAGTTGCATCTTTATAAAAACTCATCTTAAATGCAAGCGGACCAGGCAGCTCCAGCCTCTTTCAAGGCTGGCTGTGTGGTTGCAATGCTGAGCATTCCTCTTCAATACAATAGAAATGAAAGCTCATCTATGTCCCAAGGATATGCTTTTTAAAATTATTTCTTCCATCATGAGAGCTTCACAACATGGTTATTTTGTGCATGTGGCTTTAGTGACCTCGTGCTAAATGCAGTGGTAAACAGCCATGTGGTCACTTTCAGGGGACATTAGACAATAAGCTCTTGCTGTTTTTTTAACAGCCACCTTGTGCTTTTTAAAAGAGATTTTAGACTACGTTGATATAACTACAATCTTTTTTTTTTTTGTCATAAAAGTAGAGAAACTAAACTTGTGAAAGCAAGCAAAAGAATATTTAGGGAAGAGCTAGCATTTTTAGAGTAGCATCTCCCCTTGACTACCCTGGAGAAAATCTTTGCGTATAGTGGAAGAGGTGGTTAGAGTGCAACAACAAAGGTGTGAGACATAACCACCAAGCCTGCTGTTCAAGTTAATGACCACAGACATCATATGCTCCCGACCAAATTTGACAAGTACCTTGTTCTACAGCCAAGTATAGGAAACTAACAGTATTGCATATTTCAACACTAAATTTCGTTAATCAGTTTCTTTTTAGCTTGGCGAAATTCACACCAGTTGGCACTCCTACATATCTACAACACATTGCAACTTTCACAGGGTGATCAAAACGAAGACTGGAAGCTTGCCGGCAATTAAGTGATGCGACGTTTCCATCTAGTACAGCTCCCATTTTAGCAACCTATGAGAAGCATCTATATCATTCACAGTTATGAACAGTTGCTATCGAACTTGAACAGTGAAAAGGATCTTTGAGTTCCGTACTACTAGCCCACAACTCAATTATTTCTTGCACCAAATCGAACTCAATTCATCAGATGCCTCACTCCCTGTAGATCCCCAGTGAACGTCCAACATGTAACAATCCATTCAGGTACAAAATGTTGCATTTGTCAAGTGCACATAATTGTGCAACATGGTCAACGTGCATTAATTCAAAACTACGAAGGAATGGAGCTCTTACTAGTCGGTAATGTATATTTCAGTTTATGGTAGTAGTACTGTGCAAATGGGTACGGCACTATGATTCACCAGATATAAATAAAAAATGCAACTGATTTGCCAATGCCAGTTTTCAACGTTGCCGGGCAAAATATATTAACATTGTGCGAATTCCTTTTCTGTTTAAATGGCGCTCCTGTTAGACCATCAGCATGAGTGATAGAATATATATAAAAATAGTTGCATTACTAAAATAACAAAGTAAGCATTGCCACCTCACACCAACTACACACGGCATCATTTTGATCGGTTTGCTTTGCCCTATACAACACAGAAGCATAGACAGACTACGACAAAGGTATAGTTCTAAGTATACGACTTTGAAATGCGTGGGGAAAATGACAGACCAACATAAAATTAACTGAAACATTACATAAGAAGGAATCATTATTGCAAGTCTTCTCTAGTTCACATGGTCAGGTAATGAAGAGGTATCCATCCAAAAATGATTGCAACAGCCACTAATAGGTCGGGAATAACTTGCACCACTTTGTTACAAAACAAGAACAATAGCACTAGTGGTAAAGCTGCAGATACAGCAAGAAAATACTCAGCAGCTTATATATTGCATTGTGGGTACTCAAGCAGAGCGCAGGCCGAGCCCCCCTTGGCTTAAAACTGGGTGCAGAAAAAAGCACAAAAAAATGAACACATACATCACTGGTCTCGAAAAAGGGGGACACCGGAGTTTCACCGGGAACAAGGGCAGATCTCCCCTGGAGGTAGTCAACACTCGTGTAAAGATAAAATATGCACGTGTGTATAAGGCAACATATATGGCTATATAAAAAGACTCGTAAAATACTTGTGTGTAAAAAAAGAGCTACGGATTAAAAAACAGGTACATTATCTGAACACATTGAAGGTGCTGCGCGAGCCACCTACGTCGCGGCGCTCTCCAATTATTTTCGCCTCCGTTTTTTTCAGGGCTTCCCCGCGCCAATGTTGACTCGACTCTCACCGGTAATAATTCAGGTACGCACGAAAAAATGTGCATTGCCATTGACAGGAGTACGAGAAAAACACCGTGCACTCCCGTGGCATTGAACGTCTTGAGGTAGCCGCACATTAAGTGCGTGTATATAGACAGAGACATATTGAAGCACAAGAACTAACGGCATGCTAGTTTTGAACATAGGGATAACTGACACCGGTATTCCAAACTTTAAATGGCGAACTAGAGATGTCCACTAATCTCATTACTGTCATGTGATTGGCACTTGAATCCAGCAAGAATTGCTTGGAATGCTATAGTAAGCGTACATGCACTCGCAAAGCAGTACTACGAGCATTTGTCTTTTCAACCGTGATTAACTCGAGAAGCATATCTTCTGAAGCACATGCAGGGTGGGAATGACACACATTTAGCATGACACACATCGACATCATAAAATGGTGACAGAATGTCAAATGGAGCTAATTCATTTCGCATTCTAACAACTGCCATAAGTAGAGCTTCAGCAAAGTGTACATGCAAACAGATCACTTGCTGCAATCACGCCAATACCTACATACTGGCATTCACATTTTTAGTTGGCAGAGTTATTGCAATATGGAAAAAAAAAAAAAGATTAGTTCTGACACCAGACAAGGCTAGAGAGATCTGAGAGTTCTGCCGCGTCTCTTGCACCATTACACAGGCCTTGCTATGAATGGAGAACTTTGTTTTGCAAATGTGGAAAGACAGACCTTTCAAACACTGGCACAGTACGCATGCAAGTACTATGCAACATAGTACACATGCGATCCTTTCAAACATTAGCATAGCATGCATGCAACTTTCACTGGCATTACTGAGCAAGTAGGTACCACAAAGAGAGAAAATTCAAAGCACTAATACTAGAGCATGTGCCTCAAACTTGAGCACTGTCTTGAAATTTCGTGGCACTACTGCCATGCTACATGGTCAGATTAATGGCATACTTACTGCCTCAACATCAACATTTGTTTAAACATGATTCTACAAGGCACTGCACCTGCCAGTGCTGTGGTGACATTCCCCAATCACTCGCAACCCACTAACTTCAGCTGACATTCGTAGCAGTAACAGCGTGACTTCTAAGTCGCATCATGGTACACCACTTGAGCATTTGCTTAGCGTAGCTGAGTGAAGCTGCTGTGGTTGCAACACAATTGACCCAACACGTACTGAAAGTGAGTTTAGCAGGACAAGACACGCAGTTGTCAAAACTTTTCAGCAAGACGAGAGACAGAAAAGATTACTTTTAAAAGAGGGGAGGGGGTGTTGCTTGTCTACAGGAATAACCTGATGGCCAGCACATCCCACAAAAAGAATAACACCGTGGGGGGAAAAAAAGGGGGGGGGGGGTCTACTGGAAGGCCTGGCTGAAATGGGGCAGAGGTGGTGGAGGCGCTGCAATGCTAGGCCCGCCGCAATAACCTGCCGTTAGCAAAAGTGTTGGATTGGCCGACGGAGGAGGCGGGCGGTGGTGGTGTGGCGGCTCCTCGGTCAAAGTGACAGCTGAGACAATGCTCGCGGCAGTAGTGGAAGGCGCAAAGGCCGTCATCCAGGGGGCAGCGGCCGCTTGGCCGTGGTGCGTCTTCTTGGTGTGGCGGACCAGGTGGTCCTTGCGACCAAACTTCTGTGGGCAGAACTGGCACTGGAAGTTGCGCTGGCCAGTGTGCACCACCAGGTGACGCTTGACATCCTTGCGAGTGAAGAATGAACGCTCGCAACGGTCGCACTTGAAGCGGCGCTCGGTAGGCGGCTTGACGAGCCGCGAGGAGGCCCCTGAGTGCACCTTCAGGTGCAGCAGGACGTCCTCGCGGCGTGCAAATGCCGCACCGCACAGGCGGCAGACGGGGTCGCCGGCCTCGGCTGCATGCAGTGCCGAGTGCTTACGGAACGAGAGCGCCGAGCTGTACTTCTTGCCGCATAGCGCACATGTGTGCAGCGCCTTGTTGGGGTCGTGTACCTGCTGGTGCGTCTTAAGGTGGTCCTTGCGGTGGAAGCGGCGCTCGCATGATGGGCACTGGAAGGGCCGCTCGCCGCCGTGGATGAGTGCGTGTCGCAGCAGCTTGAACTTTGAGCTGAACAGGCGTCCACAGCCCGTGGTGGGGCAGCGATACTGGCGGCCCCCCGCCGGCCAGCTCTCGACCTTCATGCCATCAGCGGAGGCCTGCATACATCGGTACTTCTGTTTTCCTCAGATGAAACGGGAAATGACAAAGCCAAGAACTTCAAAAATTGTGAAAACATGTGGTACATGAAAAAGACACGGACCAAAGAAATGATGGCACAATGTACATTTTCAACATATCTCAGCCCATTGTTACATCCTGTCAACTCTAACAAATGGCAGAAAAGTGAAGATAAAAGCTGAAAAAAATTCATAAACAGGGGTTGTGTGCTTGAGTCAACGTTTCGACAAATGAACTTGTCTTCTAGCTTTGACGTTCCATTCTTGCCTTGAAGAAGACAAGTTCACGTGTGGAAACGACGGCTTGCGCACACAACCCCTGTTTATAGATTTTTTTTCAGAGTCAATAACTGCACTATGGGATGCCATTCATGTGGAAACCTCAAATGCATCAGCACAAACAATGACAATGGCAGAGAAAGAACACATGGTCAAGCCCACAACAGTCGCATGAACATCCTGAGTAACGAGGGAAACATGCTTTATATGCGCTTTGCATCAGCTGCAAGTGTTAGCTGTGGCTTGACAATCCTGGACGGTGGCGGATTTGTAAAATCTTTTCCAAACAGAAGGTTGGTGCTTTAAACACTGCCAAAATGCAAGAAGGCTTGCAGACCCCCACCCCCTACAGACACACAGAAATCTATTAGTTGCAATTTTCGGGCATTACACATCAGTCGTTCATTGTCTAAACAATGAACAACAGAAAGGTGTGGTTTCTGTCATCTGTTCTTGCATCCATGAAGTTATACATGCGGCCTATGGAATAGCTATTCATGAATCTCAATGCCATTACAAGGTCTGTCGACATGACTTATGTGGCAGTTCATGGCTCGAAACCGCGCACTCTCATCGAGATCTACTAGTGGGCACATTTTCGAACTTGTATTAACGTTGCTGAACGTGTAAGGGGGCCTCGTCGGAAGTAAGATGTAGGGACCTTTTGTGCTCGGCCTTCGAACGCCAGGTAGCTATATCCCACGGAGCAATTAAATGCATGCTGCATATAATTTAACCCGCTGAAGAGTATTAGCTGACCTAACATACATAAATCACGACCTCCTAAATTTATAGAGGGGGTCGTGGCATAAATACACGTATCAACAAAAAACAATAATAGAAATAATATAAACCGATGCGTTCGCGTGACAAAAAATACTGGCACCTCTACGCCTGCGCCAAGACATAAAGCGCACTACACCTGGCAAAATTCTGTACACAGCGTCAAATAGCCCAATACAGCATCGCCACGCAGAACCACGTTATATGACTAAAACATAACTGAATATACGAAAAGCGCAACTTAAAAGTAGTTTCAGCGTAACTACTTCTAAGTTGCGCTGTTCGTATAATCAGTTATGTCCTACCAACTTGCGCAAGTTTCCACGCTTCATGACAAAAACATCCGTTTAAAACGCGCGGCATCGGCCATTACTAACGCCGCGCACGGCGCATGCGCGCCACGTGATCACCACGTCCGGTGAAAGTGTTTTGGCTTCCGGCGAGCCGAAGCCAAGCACAAAGATTTGGTGCCCAAAGTGTTAAGTAGGCCATGCCCTAAATCCGAGTACCAACATGTGCGCGGGTTTGCCGGCACTACCACGTGTGCAAGTGCGAAGCGTGCTTAACGCGAAACCTGCCGAACGCAATCACCGCCGCTTTCTGGACGCCGATGATGAGTTGTTCGTCCGTTGTCTAAGTCACGCTGATCGGTGTTCAACGGGTTAAATACCTCGCCCCTGAAGATTGCCGTAAGTTCGCCTTTGAGGTTGCTGGCGTTGATCAGATGGGGCGTCTCCTTTGCGCTATTAGTGTTATTTATTGGAATTCAAACAGCGTGCGAATCTACAAGTGCGAAATAGCTTTCACTAGCTGCTAGCGTAGGTTCTGCGTGCGCCAGACACGTGCGAATCGTTCGCGAGCTCCGCCCGATGTGCAGCCGCGTTAAAACCGTGGAACTAGCAGTTTTTTTTTCCAAGCTGCGATCCATACGACACCGATAAAGCGGCTGATCTGCGCCATACATTATTGTCGTGCGCATGCAGGATGCGGTGTAGCCCTAACTTCTGCTACTGCGGTAAATCGATTTGAGCCGCGCGAAGTCCTTGAGCGAACGCGAATAAAACCGTTGATACACTGTTCACTGAATAAGGCTCGCGCATGCACAATGCCATTGATGACATGCAAATAAAGTGCAGTTGTACGCACCAAGCGTGGAGCCACTGCCCTTGAAAATGCTGGGCGAGCAGTGCGCAGTGCACGCTGCGACTACAGTGCTTGCAGCATTTTGATCACGTTGTTCAGATTACCAACTCGAGTACAATTTCGCTCTGTAAATTGTTTTTACGGGTTATTTCATTACATCTGCGCAAGACACTCATACCTAAATAAAGCAACTTTATTTGAAAGTCGCCATAGGCATCATGTGGGGGAAAACATGGCGCTGCCGCGAGAGTTGCCTTGTATCGTGAAGGAATGCAGAAAGCCTCGTGCTACGGCCATAGAGTAATATAGTTGGTTTCAGTGCGTAGCCTCGGATCGTAGAATTTCGGCCCAGGTGCGCTGTTCCTTGCGTACATCGCTCAAGCGTTGTCGCTCGTAAGGTCAATTTCCCACGTCGTGTCGTTCCTGCAGCATGATGACCGGAGCGTCGTCGACGAGGACGCAGTCCTTCGAGAATGCAGCTGAACAGAGAAATAACAATCCCTGTTTTAAGGTGAGCGGTCCCTGCGTCGTTAAATGCGACGTCTCAACAGTTGTCCAATTTATTCGGATGTCACATTTAGGTACACGCGTTGACTTTGCCGTTGCAGGAACAGAAGTTGAGCATGAAATGCCTCGAGGACAACGGCTACGACTATGACAAATGCCAGGCCTACTTTGCGAACTTCAAAGCATGCAAAGGGTTCTGGGTAGGCCTTGTCTTTTCTTGCGTAGCGTTTTTTTTTTTTTTTTTCACGATTCGCCCTGAAAAGTCTGTCTACGGCGGTGACTGCACTGCTGCCCAGAATCGCCAGTTCAAACTCACTATGTGCGCTCTTCACAGTTGCCTGCAAGCGTGTATAAATGTGTTAACCTTAATACCATGCAAATGTGCAAACATCACTCTACCTATAACACCAATAAGCCACACGATTACAACTTCAATATTTTGAATAATTCCCATTTTCTTTCCTTGCATGCCACATCCATTCGCTCACCATACTGGAATGATACTGTCAGGGTGCTCCTTCATAAGTCATCTTGACATTTCAGAAATTCATGATAATGGCACAGTTGTAACTTGAAAGATGCACTTTTACACAGCTTGTAGCGGTCATCTTGATGTCACAGATGTAGAAAAAAAAAAACAAGAAACAACTTTAATGTTGACAGCCGTGTGGGTCAATCTTTGGAAGGAACCAAAAGGGTTTTTCTAATCCTGTACAAACACGTTGAGCCAGTAGAGCAAGTCCTTGGGATCATTAATAGGCTGATTTGAGTTCTCTTCGTACAGTGTGTAATTCATTACAAGAATAGAATTTGTGAAGCTTAGCCGATCGTAGCACTGCTGTCTTCAACTGCCCCTGCGGTAGATTTATTGCATGAGTCCAATCTGGTTGGATATTTCCATGTAATTTCTCCAGTTGCGAAAAAATATTGTTCATAAGAGCTGGAGCATACTATAATGAGCTGTGATAAGAGAACTAACTACAAAGAGAATACAATACCACAATTTGTAACTACACTTGTCGACTTCTGGCAGGCGGTGAATGACAGCTTCTTGTGTTGTAATGTGCTCCCTGTTTACTATGGTGCTCAAACCTAAATTTTGCCACAATTCCTAAAAAATGACTAGCGGCCCTTGAAGGTAAAAAGGTGCCTACAGCATACTTTTTACATGACCACAGCTTTTTACATGACCACGGACAGCAGCATGTTGCCACAGATCTTCTGCACGTTACAACATTATGCTTTGCAATTTTAAGCGAGAACAGGTGAAGGCTTGAATTACTAGGCACATTTTTTTCTGTACTCTCAATGAGCCAGCATGTCTCAAGGCTATCATCATCACAAGCAACAGAATGTTTAGTGGCTGTTTCAGTTGTACATCTTCTATACAAAAGCAGAGCCAATAAAACAGACTGGGAAGCTCTCCGAACCATGGAGAATGGAAAAACGAAGGAGGGAGCATTACGTCACACAACTGAAGTCCCAACATGTTATCAAAGCGTCACAACGTGCGATTGGTTTTAGTACTACCTTTGGCGTTCTGTTTTTGAACTTTCATCACGAGCCAGCCGGTCTGCACTAATCTCGTTGCTTGTGTGATCTTGATGCAAAAGGTCATGTGTTGGGTTGACATGGCTGGCTGCATGACTTAATACTCCCTCTTTTCTTTTTCGTTCCTTTATACTCTAAGCATTCATAATTAGAAATAATCAGTTGATGAGTGCTTAACACTGCAGTATCAAAGGTGTTGACCATTTTATAGAGTCACTATGTACACAAAGAAGCAACTGCAGTGTGTGATGATTTCAGTTGGCCATCGTCAAGGATCGACGAAGGAAAGGCATCCATCCCGCAATGCCACCGCTCGAGGAACGCGATAGCATCAAGCAGGAGTACCTAAAGCAAGAAGCGCAGAGACGACGGAGCGGTGGGCGGCCAGGCAGCTAACTGCTCGTTTATTGACTACCTAGCGGTTGACCCAGCGATGCACCGTCTCCTCCCAGTCCGTGTTGGCTGCCTCCTCTTCGTCTTCGGTGCGCACGTAGCTGTCGTCGTCAGTGGTTCCCGGCTGGAGGCAGCTGGGAGACAGCTCCTGCGGACATGCCAACTGTTTTGCTGAATTGTGCAGAGTCTGTGTTTTGAAAGAAGCACCAGGCACAAAAACCTCAGCTTAGAGGGTGTGCCCAACAAGAGATCCAGTGCTAATACCCACAGTAATGTGCACTGACAAGTATGGCATGATCTACACAGGCTGTAGATTCTGTCGCACTGGCAGGTTTTCAAGGATTATAGGAAAAAATAAAGTACGAGCAAGCCCTACGGTATAGCCTTTAACAAAAACTAAATAAGCCCCACATGTACTGTAGGGTTGCTGCAAGTGGTCTAGTCTTACACTCCGCTAATGATGTCACATTCTAGCTCTATGTTAATAAAATGATTTGTTGCCACCTGTTCTGTGTTGACAAAGCAAGAAGAAAAAATATTGGGGGGCTCTTAAGCTTCGCCTTTAAGGGAGCACTGACATCAAATTTACTCGGTGAAGATCTTTGCGTCGAGTAGCTATCGAACCCCTAGAAGTGATTCGGGACCGATAACGCAACTGAAAGACGAATAACTATCACTTTCATGGATTTATGTTACTGGTACCTAGCACGATTGAAAGAGGACGGCAATTCCGCCATTTTTAGCGCTACAAACGCTATCAGTGGCGCTACGTCGTGGTCACCTCCAGATTGCGCCACAGCTGACCACTTCTCCACAGAAAAGAGTGACGTCAAGCTAAGCTGCTCCACAAGCATTTCGTCTGCTAGGCGCACACATTCAGTCATGCCTCGTCACCTGCATTGTTGTCGTACAAAATATCGACTAGGATTGAATACGACAGCTTGCAATCACCGCGACGTCACGAATCATTTTCGCTTTAATCGACCCTTTGAAGCACAGCGATACCAAAATGGAAGACGTTCCAAGCAGCAATGGGGTGCCCGGGGATGCATGCTTCAGCCACGCTTGGTCGTGCTTCTAAATGAGTTTATATATTCGTCTGTGTGGCGTGCACAGCATTCAGGTCTACACAAAGGGGTATTTGGAATATCGATATAGAGAATGCGCACCAGCGGAGAAAAAGAATGTGTTCCCTGCTTGCCAGGTTCCTCTTTGCACCTCCAGATGGCCCCACCTATCGAGCCTCTCACGGTGGCGGCGGCGGTGACCCACCCGGTATTACGCAGATGCAAAGAAGTCCACGAACTAAAATTCATTATTAACAATACCTGCGTGTTACTTGTTAGTGACGATATCTGTGTATACACTACTCCACCTCGACAGATTGTCATCGTATTGGCATGTAACATGCGTGTAATGAAAAAACACCCTCATTTTGCTATTACCGCGCTACGACAAACAACTGCTACTCGCAATGATTCTTCAACATGCTGACTGATGAGCAAATGTCGAATCATGCTCTTTTATTTCATTATCTTTTATGGGTGGTTTTCATCTTGGTAATTTCGCGAAATCATTCAAAGTGGAGCGACGAAGATCAGACATCACGAGTGAGTGCGTTTTTAGGCTTTAGCGCCACGATAAGAACACTATGATCGGAGACATCACTACTAGCGCATCATCACTCAGGACGGTATGTGTGAAATGTATCACACCGAACACAAAGCACTAGTGTTGATTAGGCAGTGACACTTCATTCTTCATTAAGCTCTTGTACGGTGTTTGCTGTCAAAATAAAATAACTTCCACGCGATGAACGCAATTCACATTCGGCCAAGAGGACCTACGCACACCGAGCAATAGAATTAAGGGCACATCTCGATCTTAAAATTTGATGTCAGTGCTCTTTTAAGAGTTTAACGCGATAGTGATGGCCTGTCCCTAGCGTGTACCGAGCTCAAAATGACTTGTGTCAGTGCAGCTTTCGCATATGGCTGCATTCTCTGTAATGGTTAGCATGCTCTAAGGCACATGCAATAGTGCACGTGAAAGCTTTTTGAAGCTTCCTGTGCACTCACTACATGGCCTTAAGGGAAAAGGCGCAGTAACGTGTGTGCCTCTTGTAGTGGGTAGTCCGCTTTAAACCATGAATTCATTATAATCGCAATGTATGCTTGACCACGCATTATTACGGCCATATGACATGTTGCATTGCGAAGCATGTATACAAGGCACGTGTAAAGCATGCAAGTTACTTTCATTGCATTTCCAAGCAAAGGAAGTTACTTTCACTGTATTTCCAAGCAGACACGTAGCTCTGTGCTAGAACACCCACTTTACATCCAAACAATCCGGGTTCAGTCCTCACACAGACACTTAATTCTTCATTTTATTTGCATATTTCTCAATTTTTTGGTCACACACAAGATGATGACTTTTTCGCTCATAACCAATGATGCCGGCACCGGAATTTCTGCGTAACAAGCTCTTCAACGCTACCGCATTAAAAATTGTGCCAGCCCACGTATAAAAAATTTCAATCAAAAGACCCTTGCACTCATGCCATAACAAAGTAGCTTCCTGAACAAATTTTAATTGAAATCGTGACTTATCTCATCCTCTCCTCAAAGCAGCAGGAAAAGAATGGTCAAGTTGCATTTGGACATACTGTCAGTAGTATATATTCTATAGAACTTGCAGTGAAACATGGTGTTGAAATTTTGTTTTCTTTGGGTTTTAAACATCAATGCAATATGTTGAACCAAGTGATCACAGAGATGTTTGCCAAGCCAGCAAGTTTAGAAGTAGTAAATCACTAAGCAGATAAGCAGACATTTGGCTACATTAAAGGAAAATGTTGGGCTAGCATAAATCGGGCTTGCTAAGCTATGGCAGACGTGCTGGCCCCTGCTTCAGCATGCAATTCTTGTGCATCACCAACCATTGGCAAATGGTGCCAAGAGCAGCGCCAAACTTGCCACACGATACTGAACCAGTAGTGTTCAACACCTACAAGTGCACCTGGTTCAAATATGCACTTTGTTTATGGCTTTGTGAAGGAATTACCTGTGGGCTTACATCTGTGCAGCCATTGTGCTGGCTTCCATCAACATCAGGCCCAGGCTGGGAGGCTTCGTCTTCGGAACCCACACCTACAGAACAACATTCACTGACATACATACTCATGCCAAACCAGCACATAGTCTCACTGTTGTAAACTGGTGCTTACAAGCATTGTCTTAACTGCGTATTTTAAAGTGGAGGTTGAAATGGGCAGATGACATAATACAATAGGGCACTTAAAAACAGCCACAAGTTTTATCCAGCTTTGCCAATGACTGCTTCTCAGCCCTCTCCTAATGGAGGTGCTAGCAGACGACTATGTGACTTCGCCCAGCAAGAGATGGTGGGCAAGCACAGTGTTGCCGGAGTTACAAATTGAACACTGAAACTTACTTGAAATGTTCGTGCACTGCCATTTTGTGACTTTTTGTCCGCAACTGATGTATGATCCCCAGTTCACCAATATGCCAGCAGGGTTGCAATATGTTAAACTATGTAAGTGAATAAAAACACACTGTACTATTCCATGCCGGGAAAACTGTTGGCCAGTTAAGCCATAAATACAAGCACAAGTATATCTCAGCGTAGAATAAGGCAGCTCAGATTATCACAATTTTGCACATGATTATCTAGCATCATCATTTCACTTCGTTAATTTTTTATTCACTCTCCCCTGTGGCCATGGCACCTGCGTGACACTGAAACAGACATGCAGACAGTGCAGCCTCAACTCTGAAAAGCTCCACCCTCGAAGTTACCTGAATGTAACTCGCGCACGAGGGACGACATAGCGTGGGTGACCGAGTCGGCAGCCACGAGCAAGTGGTCGCGCAGTTGCCGACCCTCAGGTGTACGGCCGAAGGCCATCTGCACGTCCGCACCCAGGCCAACCAAACTGTCCGGGGTCTGTAGGTGTGCGGCCACTATTGGAGGGCGCTCGGGTGGGGAGGCGGTGGACCGAGGAGAGCTGCCAGGTGTTGACCGGGGACTTCGTTGATGGTTCTGCATGCAAAAAGTCCAGCTTGTGGCGCCACCTTTTGCTCCTACACACAATGGCAATTGAACTACAAGAGTGGGCTATAATCTAGTATACAAATGTTCGCTATAATCAGGCACTTGTTATAGACTTATCCTGGCCTGAACCTGATGCAACGTCGCTAAGAACAGTGGGCCTCCATCCAATGATGCCACTGGACTATGATTTGTGGCTCTGTGGGTCCCACCATAGGAAAATTAAGGTATATAGCGGAAACCAGACTTCATCTGCACATGTGATTCTGTATGACATTAAGCAAACTTTTAAAATTAAAAAAGGAAACCTGAAAGCGTTAGCTTAGGAAAAAAGTATTGTGAGCACAGTCTCCTGTGGCCGCCTGTGAGAGCACCAATGTCCTCCAGCACTACGTACAGTTGGCGTTGAAAGCTTCAGAAACACTAGGCCTCGAAAACTAAATTTTAACAGCTATTTCTTACTGTATTCAATCTAACTGTGTATTACATGTTATCCTAATTTAGATTGGGCCAGAAATTCAAACTCGATGGTGCCTGCCAAAGTAGCATGAACATTCAGCCTTTACATACCTTGTGGTCTCCAAATTTTTCTTTTTGATTACAAATTATTAAGGGGGAATGTCCAGGCACCCTGATTCCTTAATTAGCATGATTGAGTGATTTTCTCAGTTCTCTCATGCCTGGCTCATTGCAAAGTAAATTCTACATGTTAACAGCTAAGTTGATATCCTGGCTCAATATTGGTGTTATTTCCGCAAACATCATCCACAGAATTTGAAGTCTCATCCTAAAACCTGCAACACAATGAGAGTTAAAACCTCGCAGTAGGATGAAAAGCCATGTTCGAACTATGTGAAGCAGATGTGATGACCACTGTTAAACTTCAAGGTGCACTGACGCAAAATTTTTACATCTGGTTTCTTGGTTGCAATAAGTAGCTAACAATCCACTTATCACGGTGGAAAACCTTGTTTGCTCGAGTGCCAGATGAATAAATATTTTGAGAAGGGTTTTATAGCACCAAGTAAAAGTTACTGTTTCAAAGTGCAAACCAAGTGAAGAGGGACCATGAGTGGTTTCCATGTAAACATAGCTGGATATGTGAGCCCACAAGACTTGCATGAGCATCATGCTGACAACTCTATTCAATGAATCTTCCCTCAGTGCTGCTATAATCTCCTCTGGGACCTTGTAAATAGAACAAAGATGTCAGCCTTTACACTTCTCTGCATATCCAAAAAGGAAGTGCTCCCTCTTTCTGTCGAAAATGTCTGGTAAAAGAGAGCGCTTGCAAGGATCGTGGCAGCTAACGCATACTGACGATGCAAATGGCTGTTAGCTGTTTACAATAAAACCAAGTTGGCGATGATGTTAGGTGGCGAATTCGACATGCAGTTGGGTGTCACACACTTCAAAATTTATTTTAAATAT